ATTTGGTTCATTTATTCAGTAACACTATGTTGCATTGGAGTCTTTTTCACTGTATAATGATGTTGAATATCATACTCATCACAAAAATTATGAAATTTAAAATTCTTAAATTTTATATTATTGTCAATCTACAAGACTTTGATCTTACTCCTTGTCTGATTCTCCACCTTCACATATCAAGTCTTGAACTTTGTAAATACTTTTAACTTATGCTTCAAAAAAAGACTCAAACTTTTCTAGAGAAATCATCAACAAAAGTCAAAAAATAACGAGTATCACCCATCGACATCACATCAATCAGACCACACATATATGAATGAATATAATCCAGCACACCACTTGTCTTATGTTTTGCTGTCTTGAATGTCACCCTATGCTATTTTCTTATGATACAATACTTGTAAAAATCTAATTTACACATTTTCACACTAAGTAGTAATCCTTGTGCATGTAGTTTTTGTATACTTGTCTCACTCATATGGCTCAATTGTCAGTGCCATAAAAGAGTGTCATCAATCATACAATTATCCGATATTACAACACAAGCTCTACCTACAATAATACTTCCATCATGAAATAAAATTTATTTGTTGACATTTTCTCTTTATCACGATGAACGATTCCTTGATAATTTTGAAGATCTCATGTTTACCTTTGAAGTAACATTTATTTACCTCCAAAACTTCAAGTGAAATTAAATTCTAGTATAATGTTTGAATGTGACGAACATTTGTAAGCTTTCTAACCATCTTGTCAAATGTCTCAACTTTTACCGAATCAATATTAATAATTTTGCAAGCTACATTATTTCTCATAAAAATAACTCCCATTGTACTCTTGTATAAGTCAAATTAGTCAGCATTATGACACATAATAAGAACAATCACTATTAAGAATTTGTATTTGATAACTCTTTAAGTGCAACAAGGCTAAAATAGACTACATCTTCTATGTCTTTAACCTTCACAACATTAGTTGAACTAAGTTCACCTCCTACTACCTTATCATTTTAGTTCTTTAAATAATCTCTTCACAATTGTCTCTTTTCATAACATTTGTAATAAGTTTGGTTTTTCAATGAATTCATCAGTGATTTCGATCAACTCTTCTTGTCTCTTAATGATCCCTTCTCCTTCTACCTTTCACATTCTCTTCCACCCATCACATATAAACTTTTACCACGAGCTTCACCAACATTCTTCTTCTAATAATAATACTTCGTCAATGAATCAATAATATCTTTAAGAATAGATGTTGTGTTGTCAATAAGGTCGTAACAAAATGTTCATATAAATGAGGAAGATAAATAAATAAAAATAATAACTTTATTCTCATTAGAAAAATTTGATTCTAAATATGAGATCAAATTATTTACTTTTGTTATGCATGACCCAAATAAGTTTCTCTTCAATGTCAATTTGCTCATCATTGACTTTGATGCACATCGCTTCTCTAACTTTTTGAATTTCTTTAGGTTATTTTAATCCATAACTTGTTGAAGAGCCTAATCAAATAGACATGATTGAATAAAACTTTCACCCTTCTTCTCTATTATCTTCTAGTCATCAACATCAATCTTGTCTAGCTTTAGTCTATCTAGAGTCTTATACAAATTTATTTGCAATAACATATTTTACACATGATATTTATAGAGATTGAAGTTAGATCACGTAACTTCTAGATGTTAGTGTATATCTTAGAAGCCATAATAAGTCTAAAAATAATTAAACCTAGTTATTATACTAATTATAAGAATAAATATATAAGTACATCATCACAATAATAATAAAAAAATAAAATTTAGATATTAATGAGAGCAAATATAAGAGAAATCACAGAACTATTATAAATCCTAATGAGAACAAAACTTCCATCGAACACCTTTAATCTACAGATCAATGACTGTGAGATAACCCACACACTAGAGAGTCAGTAATAAACTCTCATATCTTTTTATAAAGACTTCACTTGTAATAGAAGAGAGATTAAAATAGAATCAATAGAGAGAGAAAGAGAATTTCATCATTCATCATACTCAAAAAGAAAAAATATATACCTATTCATAGAAAAAGAGAAAATGTAACACCCTCTAAAAAGAGGCATCTCGACTTACATGCATGTGAGCCCACATATCTTGGAGGCAATGATTTCAACCTCTTTTGTTTCTCACCTCCTCTCTCCTTATACGACAACCTCTGAACAGGTCAAAAAGGGCGAGGTGACAATCGTCTCTCTCTCCTTGCACAACCTCAAATAGGTCAAATAGGATGCAGTGACAATTGTGTCACTGCCCCCCACTCTTTGCACATCTCTGAACAAGTTAGACAAGAGGAGGTTTCTTGGACATCTCTCAAATGGGTAAAATGGGAGGAGAATCCTCACACATCTCCCAAAAAAGTCAATTGTGATGGGTTGACACCCCCAACATATCTAGGCTTCGCCAAGGCAGCTCCTCCTATAGGGGGGGTTGAGCGAGAGAGTAGAGAGGATGACTATCATTGTGAAGGTTAGGTAAAGGCAAGTAAAAGCTCGAAGGAGAGGAGGCTTTTGGTCCTGCACTGATTACCTGAGTGTTTGTCATTGTGAAGGAAATCACAAGAACACCTAAAGAGCGAATTGATGCCGCATTGACTGATTCCCCAACTCAGTGGGGAGGGAACAAGTTTTTTCGTTCCAGATTGGATTGTTTTCATTAGATTTTACAAAAACTTCTGCTGAGCTAGAAATCTAACAGATAAAATAAATTATAGTAAATTTTCCAGAAATATTGAAGGGCAGTAGGTGGAGGCATAACCAATGCAAATGTCAACATAGTACTAAGAGAGGGTTGAGTTGGTGTGGATGGAATATATAGAGCACAATAAGCTGGCAAAGGTGGGTGCAACACACGAGCTAAAGCATCAAAAAATGCAACATGAAAGTTGTTGATGCACTCAATTTTTAATTTATATTTGAACTCTTAAAATATAATTATGAAGTTGAGGTCATAGGGATGGTTATCAATCTTAACTTATAATTATGTGTCAAAGTTGAATCTATAGGGATGATTTGAGCATAATACAAATCTCTTCTTTTATAAAAATATTAAAAACAATTCATTTTTTTCTAGAGAAATACAAATTATATCTATATATAAATAGAGATAATAAGCTAGCATAAGTGGGTGTGATGTGCAAGACCTAAGCACGAAGTTTGTTCATGCACTCAATTTTTAATTTATATTTGAACTCTTAATATATAATTATGAAATATTAGGTAAATCTAAGTTGAATTCAAAGTGATGATTTGATTTAATACAAATTCATTTTTTATAAATGTTTTTAAGGTATTTTTTTTTCATCTAAAGAAATAAAAATTAAATAAAAATAGAAACTAGGGTTTAACATAAATCCCACAACTTAATAATGATGCTCCTGTGAAAGAGATAGAGAAAGAGAGGGAAAATACTCCTTTGTGCTAGAGAGAGGAAAAGAGATAATAAAGAGAGAGGGGAGAGAAGAGATAAGGGCAATATGAGAGAGAGGAGAAAGGGGGCACATGAGCGAGAGAATGGTGTGATCGGAGAGACGGCCATGCAAGGTAGTTTTTGTTTGCAAAGAACAAATAACAAATCAACAAGTCAGAGTTCTTGTTTGCATGGAGGGAGGTTTTGTCAGTATAAGAGATTACCGGCGAAAATGGGAGGATTAAATCAACAAAAAATATGAAAACTAATTAAAAGGGAAAGATGAGGAAGAACAAAAGATGAGAAAGAATGCTGAAAAAATAAAGGAAAATTAATGCAGGACGGGGGCCTAATCCTGACTCAGTCGGGCCACTAGAGGACTCAAGCTCACCTCAAACAATTTTGGGCCCAGAAGGCCCTTGGAGATCTTGACACCAACGTATCTGGCCGGAAGTGAAAGATTTTCTTTATTATTAGCATATTCTAAAGACGAGAGAGTAACACACATGAAACAAGACGCGTGGAATACAAGGTGGCTTATAGAATATGAAAAGATGTACGGAACACGAAGAGACATGCAGAATACAAAAGGACACCCTCTTAAACTTTCCATTGTTTCACTTAATTAGCTTTGTTTTGTAAGGCCTTTAAAAAGGACATGTCTCGTCTCCGTGGAGGACAGTTTTTTGAGTGTCAATTTCTTATTAGTTTTCGCGGCAGCTTCACGGTCTATTGCTGGTTGTGAGGCCCCGTCACCCTGGTAGGGTTGGTCGTGAGGACCCCGTCACCCTGGTAGGGTTGGTCATGAGGACCTTGAGCTCGTGGTTAGAGTGTTCTCCCATCTCCATTTCCTTCTATTGTCGCTGTTTGCCACCCTCTGTGTCGGCCCACCTTCCCTCTGCCACCACCGTGGTCACACTCCATCATCACCGTCAGCCTTCGGCCAGCCACTATTGCCACCGTCTCACCCGGTCGCCCCCATCGACACCGCCCTCCTCTACCATTGTCACCGCCCCACCACTCCTTGCTCCTACGGCTCCACCTGTGCCACCACCGACGACTCTCCTTCTGACGTCCACAACCCTCATCTCTACTCTCCTCTCCTAACGCCCGACGCTTTGACTTCCCGTCACTCTGATTCACCTGCCGCCCCTCCATGACGCGCCGACAGACAGAGTCTGTCGCTGGTCCAGCACGATCTTGTTTGGTCAACGATCGATCCTCAGTAAACCAGGTCTCTCTACTGACTTCTCTCCTTCACTATCTTGTTTTCTTACGCCTAGTTTTCCCTACTCTTTTATACATCTTTATTGTCATCGTCGCCATGAGTGATTGTGTAGCATAGCCACTACTACTCCTTACATTGGGTTGTCCCTCCCCCTTGATAAGTTATATCTGCTTTGTTAACTATGAGCACCCTACGATTGGTGGTTTGCCTAAATCACCTGATCCTAGCCCCATTTCCCTGACTGCGGATGATTTTCGAGCCAGACTTGATTTTATCCGTCTATTCTTTATAGTATATGTGTTTTCTACATCATTTATTTGATCTCTACTACGCCCGCATAATCATCCCCATCATTTTGGTATCTGAGCATTCATTAAGTCGTAGAGTCCCATTCTCTGTATTTGTCTCCCTAGACCACTAATGCCCCATCAACATCTACCAACTAGACATACATACTTCCCTACATATCATCTGTCTACGCGAGCATAGCTAGGAGCGGAGGATTATCCCATGTCTGATATGGCAAATGGTGAACCCCCCTGGGCTACGAAACTGCTCACTAGACTAGATAGTGTGGACCGTAGATTGATCGGGTTAGAGGCCAAGAGAGACTCTGACCCATCTCTTAAGCAACGACCCTCTTATCTCATTGAGCGGCCTCGAGCTCAATGCTTTTCCCAACATGATGATCCTTTCCATCGTAATGACCCCCCATTTGTTGACACTTCTAACAAACATCTTTGGGTTGACGTCCCCACATTTGAAGGTTCTCAGAACCTTAAAAACTATCTAGATTAGGGGGCAGTGATTGATTGCTTTGTTGGGTGGTACCAGATATCTGAGTCTAGAAATATTAGATTTCTCATGGTGCGAGATGTCTGAGTCTAGAAAGATTAGATTGGTCAACCTTAAACTTGCCGGACCTGTTAAGACCTTTTGACCGAAATCGATTGCCTATTAGAGCGTCGAGGCTTAGACCCTATCAAGACTTGGCTTCATGAGAAATATATTCCAACAAATTATCGGTTCCAATTAGTAGATAAGTGGCAACGCATAGTACAAGGTACTTGATCAGCTTCCGAATATGTGGCCCAATTTGATGATCGTATGTTTAGATGTGGGCTGAATGAAGACCTTATTTTTACTCTTTCCCGCTTTCGCATTGGATTACGTGAGGATTTAGGAAAAGAACTTTTTGTTAGGGATGTCCATATCTTGGAGGAGGCCTATAGGTTTTCCACGACCCTACGTCCCACGATCCACTCCCTTGATACAGCCTAGTCGACCCCTAGCCCATACCATAGAATCACCTAGACCTGGTCATAGTATGGTGCAAGCCCCTACCTCCAGGCGTCACCCTACAGGCCCTACGAATATGGGAGTGCCCAACAAAGGCAAGTGACCTATCGATAAGTCACATATGAGTACCCCTTGAACGAGTTGTTATAATTGTCGAGGATTTGGCCATATGACAGCTTAATGTCCCACATGTGGTCTTTACATTGATGAACTCAACCATCCCCTTCCTCCTTTTGGCAATCTGTTAGCTAAGACCCTTGACATGGAGGAGGAAGCCTATATTCCTAACCTTGAGTTAGCCCTTGCATTTTCCGAAGAATTGAGCCTCAGTATCATGAGATGTATCTTGGCACAACCAGCTAGAGAGGAGAACCCTACTTGGACAGCTATCTTCCAAACTTTTGTTAAGTGTGGGCTGGCCACAAGGAGATAAAACACCATTTAAAGATAAGGTCAACACGTGTGAAGAGTTCACACAGACATATGTTTATTTATTTTATTTCTGGGAACCCAATGGACAAAAGCTATACCTTTTTTTTAGGTCGAAAGGACACATGATGATCTTCAGGCGTCCCCTTCTTTCCGCCGGCGCCGCCTCGTACGATCCCACGCACCAAAAGAACAGCGTCAGGATCGCATAGGCAGATACAACAAAGGACGCCCTCCATGGATCGCTCCCGGCTCGGTAGGTTGCCAGGACCGATGTGACGGTAAGGAATCCTAGACGGGCCTTGTTCAACGAAAACCGGACCCAGGTGTTGTCGAGGGGACTCCGGAGAGTCGTGGAGGGAGCCATCGCCGCGTGAGGCGGACGAGGCTGCGGCGGCAGTGGCCCACTCGGTTACGTGGCACTGGGGGTGGGGGAGGGATTTCGCTGGACTGCCATAGGGTTTTCACAGAGGACGGTTGGAACGGAAGGATCGGACACGATCGAGCCTTCTGGGGCTAGCAGGTCCCAACCCCGAGGATCATTTCTGGGAACCCAATGGACCAAGAGAAAAATTAATTTATTGATTTATAAGTCAATTGGCATGAGAAAAACTAGAATGAAGAAACCGTTTTTTTAAAAAAAATCTGTGGTGCGAGGTAAGGTGCGTTGGATTCGGGTTTTTTTTTCAAAAAATTATGCTAAAGTCAAAGCAGGGGCGTTAGGACTAGCTAGCTCCATACGTGAAAATTCTATGGTACGGCCCTTGTTCTCTAAAAGATTTGGTTAGAGAGGCTATACTTTTTTTACTTGTCTTTGAAATGCCTGTACTAATTACTTAATTTAGTCCGGACGATCGTGTCGCGGCAGAAGTCACTGAAGAATGAAGAAAATGGGGCCTTGAATCTACCGCGTGCACAGTAATCTCACAAAGAGAGAAATTACAATTATTGCTCGTCGAATAGAAGGGACTGCATGAGGGAATCACACGACATCTGAAGGCTCTGTCCCTAGGTCCGGCAGCGGGAAAGGCGCTGGGTTGGGTTCTTGGTGGCACCGGTGACGGGGGGGATTTTGGACGGCGGAGCGAACCTTCCACCTCTTCCACACGAGGAAGAGGAGGAGCGCGACAGCGACCGCCATGGGGAGAAACCAGATGCGGAGTAGCAAGGGAAGAGGAAGGTCAAGGCAAGACCTGAGGACAAAAGCCGCCGAAGCCGAAACGAGGGCGGCGGGTTGCCCACACTTTTGTATCAAGGCCGTCACCGGAGCAGCTCCTCCTCCAGAGGGGCGGAGGGAGAGAACGGAGAGGACCACCGCCGCCGAGAAGGTGAGGTAAACAAAGGCTGAGTACAGCTCGAAGAGGAGGCTGCTTTTGGCCCCATGCACTGGTTCCGTCATTGTGAAGCAGATTGCAAGCAGCGCTAACGAGAACTGTTGTTGCCTGGACTGATTCTCCGCCGGGGTGGAGAGGAAGGGCGTTGCAGATGACATGGTTGCAAGGGGGGGCCTTTAATCCCACATCGACTAGTTTCACAGCTCTCAAAATCATTATAAACAGAAAGCGCGATGCCGAAGCTGAGCTGTCTTTTAGGAGAATTGCGGACTGAACCTGAGAGCGACGGGTCTGACTCCCGGCGGACTGAACTTGAGAGCGAACGGGTCTGACTCCCGGGAGAGTTTGAGAGCGGCTCCTCCCGACTCTCCCAGGGGAAAGATGGGGGTCTCCCGGAGAAAGCGCGATGCCGAAGCTGAGCTGTCTTTTAGGAGAATTGCGGACTGAACCTGAGAGCGACGGGTCTGACTCCCGGCGGACTGAACCTGAGAGCGAACGGGTCTGACTCCCGGGAGAGTTTGAGAGCGGCTCCTCCCGACTCTCCCAGGGGAGAGATGGGGATCTTGCGATATGGTTCGCGACTCCCCCGGGAGAGGGAGAAAGGGATCCCGCGATATGGTTCACCCGCGGATCGTGATACCAGACAAAAGCTATACCTTTTTTTAAAGTTTGCAACTATATTTCGTCTATTTTTTTATAATGGATAAGTAGCTTGTCTTATAAACAAAGTTTGACAGTGAGAATGATGTTCACACCCTTGTACTCTTTGTTAGGGCTTTCACATTATTTTACAATAATGTTCCACTTATGTTACAATAAATATTTTCCTATAGATGATTTTTGATAATGAGAATGATGTTAAATAAAAAATACTAAAAATACCTTTTATGTACTTTATGTTACAATAAATACTCTTCATTTAAAAAAATCACATTATTATTATTTATTTACTAAATTCTAAAATAAGTGATTTATCTTCAAGAGTCCTATAGATGAGAGTATAAAAATCTTCAATACACTCCATGATCAATCAAATCTTTATATAAAGTAAATACTATCTATTAAGATCATGAAATCCATGTTATCAATCTTATATATATCCAAGGAGTATTTCCACATTTTATGCTACTAAATTATTCTTCTAACTCAATAATAATCATCTTAATATCTTCGGATATCAATTAATTTAATTTTTCGTGCATGTAATATGATAGAAAAAATTTATAAATTCTATAGTTATGATAGTTTTGTTTTCAAGAACAATGATTTTGTCAAAAATATCTTTTTTATAATTGCAATTTTCGGATTTTAACTATATATGTCTAGGGGATCAAAATGTAAGAAAAGAGTATCTAATTTTTAAAATTTAAACTATTTTTTCTATTACTATTTTCTATAGTTTCTAACATAAAATCAGCAAATAGATGTTATAGTCTTTTAGAAAAGAAATTAGTTACTTTTATAGGTGAGCCATGAAAACAAAATGTAAACACATGTTCTTAATCATTCTACAACATAAATTAATAATTAATACTTAACCCCAACTTAAAAATAACATTATCTTTAATGACAAAAAAATCGAAACATAATATATAGAAAATATAACTTTCAAGTGAACTATGTATATTTGTAAATTTAAGCACTAAAAATACTATCATAAAGGGTAAAGTCAAAAAAGACATCACCTCAACCTCATTTTTTATTTTTTGTTTCATCTTACACTCTTTCTCTTCATACTCCAAGAAATAAATATAAAAAAATGCTGTGAAATTCTAAAATAAATAGAATTTAAAAATCGTAACATAATTAATGAAAAAAATATGGGTTCCCTCTCATGCAATACTGAATTTAATGTCTTCAACTAGACAACTCTTCAATCATATAAGATGATCTATGCATATCAAAATATATATCTCAAAGTAAGTTTCATGATATTCTTTTTCAGTTTTAAATAAATGTGTACTTTATATATATACCTTGAGATACTTTTTAGTCAACATAAAATGAAAACTATTAAAATTTTTCTAAAAAAATATTTTCATTTTGAAAATAACATCTCATCATTTTTATCTCATTTTGTAAGACTCTCATCAATTAGTAAATATTTTCTATTGATACATCATAAAATGTGATCTGGTTATATAATTTTAAAATTAGTTTTACCAAATCTAACCACTTTTCATAAAAAATGATATATCTAATTCCTCCACTGACCTATTTCTTAATATATATTTTTATTTGCATAATTCACCATTGCTCTATTTTATCTTTCCTAAATATTTATTCAATTTGTGAGAATGAAATATTTCAAGCTTAGACTTAATTATAATGAGTTGTGGGTTTAGAAGGATGGAAAAATTATCTACTTTAATCTCAAATCTAATGAATTCATTAAAATTCAAATTTTCTCTTCTAAAATTACTTTTTTGTTCATATTAATCATTTTTTGGTTTCTGAGTTCATCAAATTCTTCATCCTTCTAAGAACTATCATCTTCTCATTTATGTATATGATAGACATTATCATCATTTGCTGTAAAATATTAATTATATTAATTAATTTCATCTCCTATATCTCATTCAACTGGTTTTTCTTCACTTTAAATCTATTTTTTTCATTATGCCTTTACTCCCTTGTAATAATATTTAGATGTTGTTTTCACAAGTAGTTGTTGCTTCTTTATCTAAATTTTTTTATTCTTCATCATACTCACTCTATTCATTCATCAATTGTGAATAATAAATAATTTATTTAAATTTTTGTTACTATATTTTTAGTTTTAATATTCTCATTTCCTTCTATATTTTTTATTCTTCTAATGATTGGAGATAAAAATCAAGTAAAATATTTTCACCTCTCAATATATTTTGTCCTAATATATTTATTTATGGACTTTTCTTAAATTTATCCAGCTAGAATCTCTTTGCTGAAATCCTACTATTAGATGGTTTGATAAATTTTCTATAGGCTGACTAGGTAGATGTCTCTCTTCTCTCTTATTTTCAAAAACTTCTATAAATTATTTTTATTGTAGCATCATTTCGTTCATTATTTGTTACATCATTTGTTTCATTTGCTGCATCATATTCATAAAATCATGTTTGGTTTGAGAGGGTTGATTTTTTGAATTTTTTTTTCTTATTTTGGATAAAATTTAAAATTTTATTTAGTTTTAATTGCTACTAGATTTTGAATATTATTAAGGTCTTTCCACGAAAAATGATTCCTTCAATGAAGATTATAAGAATTAAATTTTTTTTCTTATTTTTAATAAAATCATAGGCTACTTACACTTGCTCTTACCTAGGCTGAAATGATTGATTTAACATGAGACATTGAAATTCATAACAATCATTTTCACCACACATAAGGCAACTACTATTTGAAGTAAATTGGGAGTTCGAATTTTTAATATTTCTAATAAATAAATTAAGTTTTTCGAATATTAGATTAATTTTTTTTACCTCTTTCCTTAAGTTATAACTATCTTGATGATCTAATTCATTAAACTTAATTGTTACTTAATTTAGTAAGACATTACATGATGTCTAGTTACAAAAACCTTCTTAATTTAATTTCAATTCTTCTAGTTTTTACATATCCTAATTTGATCAATTAAATTGTCTATAATCTTTTATGTAAGAATTATCAAGTGGAACTTTATTTCTACTTGATTTGGGTTCATTGAGGTGCTGACATCAACCTTACATATGCATCCAAATTTCACTTCTCGTAAACTTTTTAAATATACTTTATCTTTTATCTTTTAGTCTAAAAGTCATAACAAATCATATTCTTAATAGAAAATTCTAAAATATCAATATATATTATCTTATATCTATGCAATTGACTTGGAATTTTTCACTATTTTTGAAACCTTTCATCGAATTCTAATTATTTTATTTGTTCTAAAATATTTTTAAAAATTTAAAATTGATATTTTCTAGTTTTATAAATTTTAAATTTATGTGATGTATTATGCAACGAATAGGTTACTTCAAATTTTGATGTCATTTTGGAAAATTTATTACATAAAACTTGGTATTTTTCTATTTTTCTTTTAGAGTACATAAAAATAATTTGATCTTATTTTTATTTTATTATTGTAAATAAAAAAAATGAAGAGCAACAATGCAAGGACTAGATCAAACTGAAAGAGGGCAACATTTATTAAAAAATATCTTCAAATTTGTAAATTTTTATGCATGGTAAAAGATCCTTACATCTAAAGCTAGAAAATCATTTCACTATTTCATCTAAATCCAGACATTTTAAAGAGAAATCAATTTTGATGAAACTTGAAGGTAACATAAGTCAAACAAAGAATAATTTCATGACCATAAAAAATTATTATATCCCTAATTCATATCAAAGAGCATTTAATATTAGAGTCATATTAGTATCCACGGTTAAATTATGAATAAATCTAAGAATTTTTAAAATATTTCTTAATTTTCATATATTACCTTTAGAAGAACCTCATTAGTATTTAGAAAATTTTCATATGGTATGTGATTTAGTTGATATCCCTCAAGTAACACTAGAAATTATTAAGATGAAATTATTTCTTCACACACTAGGGATAAAGCTAGTTATTGGGTCTCTACATTAGATAAAGAATTAACTAGTTGTAAATACATATAATAAGCCTTTTTTCCAACAATTTATCTCTCAAGAAAAAACTCAAATATGATAATATATATATAAAGTTTTGTTCAAAGATCATGAAAAATTTTATATGAGATATGAAAAAAAATGAAATATTGACTTAAAAAGTACACTCATCATGTTAGATTTAATTGGCAACTCAATAGATTTTTTTATGATGAATTATTATAATAATATAGAAATATAGCTGATTCTATGTGGAAGAACTTTTTATGGAGAAAATCGTTAATGAGATTTATAATCTTTATGATAATTTAAGTGAAAATTTTAGAGATCAAGCTTCTTTTGAGTTATATGACAAAAATAAGATGAAAAGAAATACAAGAAAGACATAGTTTTAACTTTGTGATAGCGATTGTTGAAATTTTGTGTGTTCGAAAAGATTGTCATATGATGTCTATAGCTTCAAAGATTCTCTTTAGACAAAAATGACATGAGTAGTCTCTAGATCTTATTACGAAGTCTAAAAATTAATAAGGTGAGTTGAAAA